GTGAATGGTCCGTTTTCGGTTCTCGGGAGGGCGCCACGGCCGTCATTCTCCAGGCCTGCGCCCGCCAGGTTTGGGCCCGAGGCCGTTTTCACGAAACCACGTTTTGCGAAAGGGGGTGCTGTCCGGCCCGAATGCCACGTGCGCCATCGCTTTTCGCGGGCCTCCAACCTGGGGCTGCACAGTGGGGGCATTCGTTAAGGAATGGGCCCAGGAGGCTCCAGACCCTCACCGCGTTCACAGAAGAAAAAACGGCGTAAACATAAACTTTTGGCGCTCCGCGCGGACTTCTTGGATCCGCGCTGGACCCCCCCGGCGACGCTTCTGGCGCCGCCCCTGGCGCGCTCCGCGCGCCAGGGAGGAGGCCCAGGGCAGATCCCAGAAATCCGCGTGGAGCGCCCAAAGTTTATGTGTATGCCGTTTTTTCATATTCTCTGTTTGGGCCGCTTGCATGAGAATTCGTGCAGACACTTTGGGCACCCTCCTCGGGGGTGGGCCGAGCGCTCCGCGCTTGGCCAGCTGTGGTCTTTTTTGCCTGGCAAGAGAAATACCAAAGTTCACCCTTGCCGAGAGCCAGTGGCCCTAGGCGAGAGTGACCTCGTCCTTGGGGCGAGACAACAACAACAGCATACGGGCTCAGGCACTCACTGCCGGCCAGTTCCAGCGGCCCTGGACAGCAGTGACCTTTGGGGCGAGGCAACAACAGCGACGTACGGGGTGAGACATGCACACTGTCGGCCACTCCTGGCGTGTAGCCGACGGTGTGTGTGTGTGTGTGTGTGTGTGTGTGTGTGTGTGTGTGTGTGTGTGTCTCACCCCCGTCGGCTTCGCCGACGGCGCACAGCCTGCGCCGTGCCCTCGTGCTGAGCCACCTGCGTCGAGCGGAAGGAGATCGGTAGCTTGGCATCGCTCGGACGTGTGCATTTTTCTTCGGCGAGGACCATTGACATCTTGGATCCGAAATCGAGCCGATACGCGGGAAATGGACGTCCGAGCGATGGCAAGGTGGACGGGCACACGTCGGCGCCAGCACACGTTCCGAGGATCATCGACCGGGGGCTGGCATGGGGCAGGGTCGAGGAACAACACTTCCGGAAGTACGCGCGGACCTCCGAGGCTTCACGTTCCTGTCGTTGTGTGTTCCCCGAGCGGGGGCCGACGGGCGCAACGCAGCGGTGCCAGGTCTGGGGGTGTATTGCGTCAAGAGTTCGGCTCTTGAGGTCGGGCCTTCCGCCCTGCCCCGGTGCCTCGAGCCACCAGCAGCCCTTCATCGGTCGGCGTCTGCTGGGCTCGTTCGCGCCGTCATCCCAGGCGCCCGCCCGTGCAACCTCCGCGGGCGAGCGCTCGAGCATGCACCCCGCAGGAGCCGGCTCTGGGTGCCGCCCTGCTCGATGCTGATGGCCTCCCCTTCCTCCCTCCTTCCCACCCCCCCTCCCTGAGATCCGACGTTGAGGGAAAAAGTGCAACATCGCAAAAGTCAGGATTGGAGCCCCAGACCCCCCGCCCCCTCCCCCACGCTCCCAGTCGCCGTCTGTTCACTTGATATGGTGTGCATGTCCGTGTCCATTTTGGCACCAGTTGTTGAATGCCTGTCAAAGTGAACACATTTGATTGTTGATGGAGCCGAATACGAGTGCTCCCACGCAGTGTCGCTTCGCAGTCGGAGCACGCGGCCTTGGTGACTTATGGCCGTGCTCGCCAGCCATCAGCGCGAAGCCCAGACATCAGCGCGAAGCCATAGCACTGCACCAAAAGTATGCGAGTGCCCAGACTCTTTGCCAAGAAGTATGGGGCGGGTCACGAGGCAGCGCGCTACCACACATCTAGTTGGGAGAGTGCTGTTTCGAAGTCTCTGTGCCTTTCGAGGTTGCAGAGCACTCCAGACTACACTCGCGCCATTGCTGCATGTGCGAAAGGTACGGCATGGGAAGTCGCGATTGCTTTGTTGGACGTGATGGCGGATCGCAGAGTCGCGGCCAACACGATCACTTGCAGTAGCCTTATCAGCGCGTGCGGTAAACGGCGGCAGTGGCAGGATGCCGTGTGGGTAATGGAGCTGATGAGACAACGTAGCATTGTCGCCAACGCCTTCACATATAGTGCTGCCCTTAGTGGGTGCTCAAGGGCAACACAATGGGAGACAGCTTTAATGTTATTTGTGAAGGCCCAAGACGCTGATATTCGAACAGACACCATTTTTTGCAGTAGCGTAGTCAGCATGTGCGCGAAGGGGAAGCTATGGGACCATGCGGTTGCTATTTTGCAGGATCTGAGTCTTCGGTCCCTGAGAGCAAACACTGTCACGTACAATGCGGCAATCAGTGCGTGCGAAAAGGGGAGTCAGTGGGTAGTTGCGGTGGGACTGCTCAGACACATGCAAGGTTCACAAATTCCACCTGACAGAATATCGTACAATGCAACCATGAGTGCATGTGAGAAGCGGGGGAAGTGGGAGCGTGCGATTTGCCTCCTGACCGAGATGCAGGAAGGTCGCATCCGTGCTGATGTGATCACCTGGAGTGCTGTCGTCAGTGCTTGCGAGAAGGGTAGCACGTGGGAAGCGGCGTTGATGCTTCTGTCGCACTTGGAACGTTCTGATCCGTCTGTATGCACGGTCGCTTACAACGCCGCAATCAGTGCGTGCGGCACGAGTGCTCAATGGGTGATGGCATTGCTTGTTTGGCGAAAGATGCGCCACGGCAACATACCGACAGATATCATCACGTCGAATGCGTTAACCACTGCGTTCGACAAGGGACGACAATGGGAAAAGGCCCTGCAGCAGTTCTGGGCAATGAACGAAGCGCGTGTCGAGCACGATGCCATCAGCTATTACGCGGCCATGAGGGCGTGTGAAAATTGCGGGCAGTGGGATATAGCAATGGAACTGATTGCGGCCATGTTGAGAAATCGCGTTTGTGACACATCGGAAGGACATGTGCCGTACGTGCACCAAGTGCAGGCTGGAAGCACGCTTGATTGTTTCAAGCATGTTGTTCTGCTCGTTTTGCTAGAACGCTTGACATGTGATGGTGCTCCCTCCCTCACTTATTTGGACACCCATGCTGGAGGTGGGATATATGACATCGACTCTCCCGAAGCACGGTTGCTCAGTAACTCGGACTGGGGCGTGCGGCGCTTGCAACACAGCGTTCTTGCTAAGCTTCCTGCGCCACTGTCGTATTACATGGAGTCATTGCGGGAGCACAGTTCAAATGCGGGTAATGAGGCCTCGTCCCCGACAGCATACCGCTATTGCTTTGGCTCGCCCGCTTGGGCGTTGACGCAGCTGCGCCCTCAAGACCGCGCGGTCCTCATCGAAAAGCATGCCGGCGTGTGTGAAGATCTGAGGCGGGGCGTGACGTCCCTGGATGCAGCTTGCCGTTTGAACGTCAAGATCGTCCATGCAGATTCGTACAGGTGGCTCACGCAGCTGCCGGAGCACAGCTTTTCGGGCGCCGGCCTCGTGCTGATTGATCCGCCGTACGACTCGTATGAGTCATACACAGCATGGAATCTCTTCATGCTGAGGCACCTCCGGGGCATCTGGCCTGCCAGTTGTGTCGTGCTGTGGTACCCGTGCCGGGATGCTGCAGAGCGCTGCAGTTTCCACCGCCGCGTGCGGGCCTTGCGCTTGGGCGGCGTGCTCGTTGCAGAGCTCGAGGTCGAGAGTTCGGGCGCGGCCCTGAGCAGCTCTGGCCTCTTGGTCGTCAATCCCCCACCCGATATCGTTGGGCAGTTGGAGGAGCTGCTGCCAGCGCTTGCTCGCATGTTAGCGCCAGGGGGCAAGATGGGCTGTCGCACTTGTGTGCGCTGGCTGGAGGACAAATGAAGAAGCTGCACACGTGCATTAACAAAAAGCTATAGGCGTCAGGATCGCACGGTTCAAAAGTGATTGCGCTCAATTGCGGGCACACGAGCGGCTCAACCATGTGGTGTTGACCTCGGATGCCTTGCCCAAGCGAGTTGTTTTTCTTCGCACGTCGTCCAGTGCATGATGTGCATTGTGTTGCCATATTTTCGCGCAGGGCCTCGTCTTTGTCCCACGGGTCTGGCGTACGCCCTTGACATGAGACCGCGGGTGAAGTGTTGCAGCCGTGTTTTGTTTGTTTCGAAAGCGTTGACAGTTCCGTAGTGCAAATAATCGCACACACACACCAGCCTCGCAGTGGTTGGCGTCGGGGGTTCACCTGCACAAATTGAGGGATGCAATCTGCTGGAACTTGAGGAAAGGAAAATCACGCATCCATTCGGCAGACAAGATGATCATGACCCCTGTGCAAGGATGAGCCAAAAGCCAACACCCAAGACGTACCGCGTAGCGCCAAACACACAACGCCTGGCAGCCAATAGCCAACACGGAACACCAAACACCAAACAATGAGCACTAAGCACGAACCACCAAACACCCAACGCATCACGTAGTCAACGCCTGAAGCCTAACACCGAACAACAAACTGTGAGAAGCCGACGAACGCTGAGTGCGAACCACCTGCAACAACAAAACCACGAGTCATCCATTCGGCTGCAGCCGGAGGGGAGGGCAGCGTCCACGGCACGGCCTACGTTCCGCTCGCGCCGCTCCACCGCGCACCGTCACGTCAGGGGTGGCGGCGGGCGCCTCGAGCAGTGCAGTGCTCGTGGAGTGCTCGGCCTCCTCCTCCTCGCCCGTAGCCGTTGCGTCTCAAAAGTGTTCGGGCTCACCCTCTGCCGGCTGTTTGCGGCGCTGGGGGAGCCACGCTCTGCGCACGGGCCTCGGCGGGGCGGCGGGCCTCCCCAAGCGCGCCCGGCATGGCGGGCGAGGACGAGGCCGAGCTGCCCCCGCAGGCGCTGTCCGAGCCCCTGGTGGAGCTCTCCGGCCTGGGGCGGACGGTCGATGGGACGGGCTACGTGTACCAGGATCGGGGTCGGAGGAAGGGGTCTGGTCGGCGTTCGGTTCGGCCGGGTCCTCTCGGGTGGATTTCTCGGGAGGCCCGAGCACGGGCCTGGCAGCCTGCGGCCCCGGGGCCGCGGTTCCGCGGGCGGTGGGCCAGGTCAGTGTTCGGGCGGCCCTGGTGGCACTCGAGCAGTTCGCTCGGGCCCAGCGCTGACCTGTCTGTTTCCTGTTCCCTGCAGGAGGTCGCTTGCGTTGGCAAAAGGATCAACCAAATCAAGGCGATCGAGGCTTATGCGCACGTTCAGAAGCTGGACCTATCGGCGAACTTGATCAAGGACATCGCTCCGCTGAGGGGGCTCCGGTACCTTGTCAAGCTGAACCTCTCCCAGAACGCCATCGTCAGCCTCAAGGGCTTGGAGTCGGAGGCGGAGGAAGAGGAGGAGCCCCCGCTGCCGCACCTGCAGCACCTGGACCTGAGCGACAACGCCCTCACCGCGCTGGCCCCGCTGAAGCTGCAGGCGCTCCGGACGCTGAGCCTGGCCAGGAACCAGATCGCCTCCTGCCAGGACTTCGCCGGGCACGAGAGGCTGGAGGCCCTTGACCTCAGCGGGAACCAGCTGCAGAGCCTGGCCGGAGTCGCGGGCATGCCCGCGCTCGCGAAGCTCAGCGTCGCCGCGAACCAGCTCGGCTCCATCGAGGGCCTCGCGGAGGTCCTCCTCCCCCTCCTCCCCCTCCTCCTCCTCCCCCTCCTCCTCCTCCTCCTCCTCCTCCTCCTCCTCCTCCTCCTCCTCCTCCTCCCTCCTCCTCCTCCCCCTCCTCCTCCTCCTCCTCCTCCTCCTCCTCCTCCTCCTCCTCCTCCTCCTCCTCCTCCTCCTCCTCCTCCTCCTCCTCCTCCTCCTCCTCCTCCCCCTCCTCTTCCTCCTCCTCCTCCTCCTCCTCCTCCTCCTCCTCCCCTCCTCCTCCTCCCTCCTCCTCCTCCTCCTCCTCCTCCTCCTCCCTCCCTCCTTCCTCCTCCTCCTCCTCCTCCTCCTCCTCCTCCTCCTCCCTCCTCCTCCTCCTCCTCCTCCTCCTTCGTCTTCTTCTTCCTCCTCCTCCTCCTCCTCCTCCTCCCGCCCCCTCCTCCTCCTCCTCCGTCTTCTCCCCCTCTTCTTCCTCCTCTTCCTTCTCCTTCTCCTCCTCCGAGGTCCCTGCGCTGCGGGAGCTGGACCTGAGCGCCAACAGGCTGCAGGGCCTGGACGGGCCGTGGGCGGACTTCCCCGAGCTTGGCTCCCTGGACCTCTCGGCGAACGAGCTGCAGGCGATCCGCTCCCTGGAGGTCCTGCGGCAGCTGCCCAAGCTGAGGATCGGGGGTTCGGAGGAGGAGGAGGAGGAGGAGGAGGAGGAGTTCCTAAGAGGAGGGAGGAGGAGGAGGAGGAGGAGGAGGAGGAGGAGGAGGAGGAGGCGGCGAAGGATGAGGAGAGAAGGGGGCTTTGACCCAAGATGGGGTTCGGGAGCGAACCCAGCTGGGTGCTCACATGCTGTTGCTTTCTTCCAGGGGCCGTTTGGAGCGACTTCCCGGGTTCCCTCCGATTCCACCAATGCCTCTACCCCACCTGCTACGCCCCCCCCCGGGAGGAGTCTCGACGCGAGGGGGAACCCCTGCGTGCTGGAGGCGGAGTCGGTGGGCCCGCCCGTGATGGCACAGTTGCTGGTGTGCCACTGGCGGCTCACGACCGTCAACGGCGCCGCCGTGGCGGACGGCGACCTCGAGGCGGCGCGCGAGCTGAACGTCGCGAGGATGCTGGAGGACCGCGAGAGGCTCAAGGCGGAGCAAGACGCGGCCGCCGCGGCGGAGGGCGGCGAGGACTGAACTGGCCACCGGCGCGCGCTGGGTGATACTCCTCTCGGTCGCTGCCAGAAGCAGCCCTGGCCCGCAGTGGTCCAGGCGCTCCAGGGAGGCCCTGAGTGCTTCCAGGGCACCCTACAGGAGCCCCTGAGGGGTCCCAGGTGCCTGGTGGTCCCAGAGGCGTCCCAGCAAGGCCCCGAGCAGGGCACCCCCCCTCCTCCTCCTCCTCCTCCTCCTCCTCCTCCTCCTCCTCCTCCTCCTCCTCCTCCTCCTCCTCCTCCCTCCTCCTCCTCCTCCTCGTGGCACAGAGGCCCCCCAGGTGCCCCAGGGGCACCCCGCACGACGACGGCAAGCTGGGGCCGCGTCGGGCCGGGGCCGCCTCTGTCAGCAGCGGGTGCTCCCTGCGCGGCCCCATCCGAGGGGTGCGCGCAGTGGCGCCGCGGGCCCCGCCACTGCCACGGCCCGCGGCGAAAATTCGGCGAGGGGTGAGCCCGGCCGCAGCACGGCGGGGGGGCAGCCCGAGACCTTGCGAGAGGCCGCCCGCAGTCCTTGGGCGTCTCCCCTCCTCCTCCTCCTCCTCCTCCTCCTCCTCCTCCTCCTCCTCCTCCTCCTCCTCCTCCTCCTCCCCCTCCTCCCTCTCCTTCTGCTCCTACTCCTCCTCCTTCTTCTCTCCTCCTCCTCCACCTCCTCCTCGTCCTCCTCCCTCCCCCTCCCTCTCCTCCTCCTCCTCCTCCTCCTCCTCCTCCTCCTCCTCCTCCTCCTCCTCCTCCTCTTTTTCCTCCTCCTCCTCCTTTTTCTTTTCCTCCTTGCTGTTCCTCATATATCTCCCTCGTTCTATACTATTTCCTAAGGGTGCCTCCACTTAGGGGATCCTAATTGTTTTATAGCGAACTGGGCCAGTGTGCCGCTCTGGCGGCTATGTAGTCGCCGTCGCCGCCCCGTCGCCGCCTCGTCGCCGCGCGTCGTCTGGGCCAGTGTGCCGCTCTAGTGGCTGTGTGGCCACCGTCGCCGCCCCGTCGTCGCCTCGTCGCCGCCCGTCGTCTGGCCAGGTGTGGCGGTCTGGTGGCTATGTTGTCTCCGTCTCCGCCCCATCGCCGTCTCGTAGACTGCACAACATATACTCCACATCGCAGATAGCAGAGATCCGATGTGTTGAATCAGTTCAATACGGGGTCCCCAGAAGTCCCGGCCCTTTCCCCAGGACTGGCGTTGCATTTTGGGTATTTGTTGACGGTCCTGGGGTCATGTGAGGGCCCCCATAGGCCGAACATTGATGATGACAAACTTGAGTAGTAAATCTCCCTGGCCCAGGATATCTCCTAAAGTCATTTTATCATCACGCAATTGTTACGTCTTGGATGATTTTGTCATATCGTACTGGGGTTAGTTAAGGAAAGCGCGGGGTCCAGGAGTCGACGCTCGTTGGCGCGCCGATGCGATTGCTGGGCGCTGCGTTCACTGAAAAGCACAGCTCTGCTACCGTGCCATTTCCCATAGCGGCACCCTCGGCGTAGGTGTCGCCGCCGCTTTGTATCGTGATCGTTTCGGCGCCATGTCGTTGCCCCTTCCGGGAGGGGGATCCGCCCTGCTTTGGTTGTCCCACTCGTGCTCGGTGCGCGCTCGCTGGGCTTTGCCCGTTCGGAGCTCCGGCGGCCCACCGTGAAGTCTAGATTCGCGTGAGTTCCATGGCACGGAGCAGTCTTTCATTTCGGGTCCTCGCTCCGTGAGTCCTTACTTGCAGCGTGCGTTGTGGCAGTTCTCATGGCGACATGGTTAAGCTTCGCGTTCGTATCCTCTTCGCCAGGTTGGTCTCCTCTTCTTCGCCTTCGGTATGATGCTGTTGAGGGCCGCAAGAGGGCCCCCAACAGTACCGTACCAGGCCGGAGAACCGACTCGAAGCCGAGGCTCGCCGTGGCCAGTCTGCGTTCCTCATTTGGCGTTCCTTCTGGTACAGTCGACCCGCATGGTAAGGATGGGCAACCCTCCCAAGGGTACCCTAGAATTGGAGAGCATTTTCCCATGAGGATTGCAATACACATAAGCGGTTATGTTTGTAGTCGTGATTGTAGTAGAGGGTATAATCGTGATTCGACTCGTGATGGTAGTCGCGATTGCTGCATCCTTGCCTCCTCGGTTCATCCTTGGCCACTTTCGTTGGCCAGGCCCCGCTCGAAACGCCCCGCCATGGCCCTCCAAGGCCCTTGCATCCTGATGCATGGGGCATCCTTATGACACGGGTCGGCTGTAAGACGACGGCTGCGTAAGGAAGGGGGATGGACGAATGGGGGAGGGAAGGGGAGAGTATGGCCTTCGAGGACAGGGGGCGCGGAGAGCGCCCGAGCCCTGGGAGGGCAGTTTTTGCAGCCTGTTCCCTCCCGCCGTGCTGCTGCTCCTCGTCCGCCTGCTCTCCTCCTGCTCCTCCTGCTCCTCCTGCTCCTGCTCCTCCTCCTCCTCCTCCTCCTCCTCCTCCTCCTCCTCCTCCTCCTCCTCTTCCTTTCCCTGCTCCTCCTCCTCCTCCTCCTGCTCCTCCTCCTTCTCCCCCACCCTCCTCCTCCTGCTCCTCCTCCTTCTCCCTCCTTCCCATGCTCCGTTTCCTCCTCCCTCCTCCCTTCCCCTCGCGCCCTTGGAAGGCAGAGCGCGAGCGAAGAGATCCCCCTGCGCTTCGAAGGGCAGCCCTTCGCAGCCCTTCTTCGATTCTGGAGATGTCTTATGGCGCAGCTTGGTCGACTCTGGGGGGCAGCTCTGGCGCACTGGGATATATTTGACCACTCTGGGGCTGGATGGCGGCATGGTAGACTTGTCTGCCGCCGAAGGGGAGGCGCTGAATGTCACTGAGCATGTCAAGCTGTCCACGGTTTCAGGCTTCGCAGGGGCCTCTTGTGGAGGCTCCAGGGCCACAGGGCTACCTAGGACTGTGTGGCCATCCTGGTGCCCTTCAGCGCCATCGTGAGGCCATTGCTGACCACCCCGGCCCAACTCGGCGCAATCGTGGGCCGTCTTGGCGCCATCTTGGGAAACCTCAGCTCGTTTCGGGGCGCGACGCCTACATCGATTACGCGTTGTGGGAGCAGACCCCGCGCCATAACCTTTGCGCTCTGCGTTCTGAAGCCGCCAGGGTCCAAGGTTGCAGCGTTCTGATGGGGGGGTCCCTGCCGAGCCAGGGGAGCCCGTAATGTGTTGCAACGCGTGCAGCGCCCCATCGTCCTCCACGGTGGCCAAGCTTCAGGAAGCCAAGCTCGCGTTTTCGCTTCCGATTAGCTTTCTGGGCCTCCTCCTCCTCCTCCTCCTCCTCCTCCTCCTCCTCCTCCTCCTCCTCCTCCTACTGCCCCTCCTCCCCCTCCTTTTCCTTGCCTTCCTCCTTCCTCCCTTCCTCCCCACCTCCTCCTCCTCCTCCTCCCCCTCCCTCTTCCTCCTCCTCCTCCTCCTCCTCCTCCTCCTCCTCCTCCTCCTCCTCCTCCTCCATGGTGGCCATGGGTCCAGCAGCTAACAGGAAGCACCCATGGCGCAAAGCAGCTTGCACAGCAGCGTGCAGCCTCATAAGACCGCTGTGCCTCACAGCTTGCGGCATGGCTGAAACTACTACTCCGCTGCGCGGCGTGAAAACTTAATGTTCGCAGTCTGGTGGCCCCACGACGAGGCCAGCGGAGACACACTTCCACCTCAGACGGTTCATCACGAGTACGGCGACGTGTTCCCCAAGAGGACTGATTGCACATTGAAGTCTAGAATGAACGATATACGGGCCGTAAGAACGAAGAATCTCCAGACACACGGGTCAAAATTGCAGACCCGCGGTGCTTCCTCAGACTCACGTGGTGCTTGCTCTCGGGCGGGGGGTATGTCATGTGGGGGCTCTGGTCATGGCGTCACGTGGCGGGCTTTTTTCCAGACGTTTTGCCGCGTCCCCTCCCTGTGTTCTCAAACTTCTTATTCCTGTAATGGGGTTGTCGACACGATCTCGACCCCTCATTTTTAGAGTGCTGTTCAGATGCAGATGTGAAGTTCTCGCCCGTCCGCATCCGCCTCCTCCACCTCTGTAATCATCCTCCATCAGGCTTGTGAGCTGCATCAGGCGTGCAAGCCCTTCGAGGCCACGGAGGGGTCTCCATCGCGGATGCAAATCTCCTCCCACCGTTGGCCTCCAAGAGAGCTCGAAGACACAGAGCACGGATTTCCCAAGCGCTTCCTTCGCAGCTCCGCTGCCATCTTCTCAGGGGGCGCCTGTGTCCGTGCAGGTCTCCGTCGCACCGGGGCAGCACACGCTTGGGGCACGCTCAGCATGGCAGCAATCAGCTAGCGAGGCGCGGTCAGCATGGCGCTCAGCGAGGAGACGGACAGGCAGGCGCTGGAGGCGTTCCTCATGGCCGACCCAGCGGTGAATCTATACGCGATTGGCGACTTGGACCCGACCTGCTGGGGCGACTGCGTCTGGCACGGCCTGCGCGAGGAGGGTGACCCTGACGGCAGCGGCGGCACGGCACTGCGGGCGGTGGCGCTGCTCTACCGTGGCCTGGCGGTGCCGGTGCTGCAGCTGCTGGCCGACCCTCGCGACCCCGCCGCGGTGCGCGCGGCGGAGCGGCTGCTCTCGCTGCTGGGCGAGGCGGCGGTGGAGCGGCTGCCGGCAGGCGCGTTCGAGGCACACCTCAATCCTGGGATGGATCGAATCCTGCGCAGCGCGGGCTTCAGGGTCACGTCGAGGCCACACCTGCGGATGGCGATGGGCGCCGCTGATCTTGCACAGTTCCTCGCGGACCCACCGCCGGTGCGGGGTTGCGGAGGCGAGGCGCAGCGACTGACGCCGGCGGACGCGGAGGCGTGCATGGACCTCTGTCGGACACTCGAGCGGTCGTGGTTTGAGCCGCAGTGCCTCGACAGTGGCGTGTATTATGGCATTTACGGTGGCGGTGGCGGTGCCGACGGTGAAGGCGGCGGCGGCGGGAGGACACTGCTGGCGATGGGCGGGACGCACGTGGCCTCGTCCGACTACAAGGTGGCTGCGCTAGGCAATGTTGCCACCCGCGCCACGCAGCGTCGGAAAGGCTATGGCCGTGTGGTGACCCGCGCGCTGTGCCTCGCACTGGCGGAAGAGGGGTATGAGACCGTCGGCTTGAACGTGACGACGGACAACGTTGCAGCGATTGGGATGTACGAGTCGTTGCGGTTTCGCGTCGTGATGAATTTCGTCGAGTGTGACGTCGACCGCTAGGTCGCGCCTGGATGCATGCCCTGGTTGGCCGGCACGTGCTTGTCTCTGCAGTAGACGTTGTCGGCTCCAGATGGTGAGTCCACGCATGGGCAGCACAACATGTCATGCAGAATGCCAGGGACATGGTGGCACTTTCATCGCTATTTTGGGCGTTGCGCCACGTGCTCGAAATATTGAGATGTTACCCAGCATGTGCCCCAAAGGGTGTGCTTCTAACAATGAACGTTGTGCAGTCGGCGCTGAGCAATCTATGTGGTGCGATCTATGTGGCGCAATGTATGTGATGCAACCTATGTTGTGCAAAATACGTGCAGCAATATATGTGGTGCAGTCTATGATGTGCAATGTTTTTTCTCGCAGTGAGTTGTCCACTCCACTGCTCGCGCAATCATCCCACCCACCCACCCGCAACTTAGTTTACAAAACCCATGCGGCGGCGAGTACGATGAGTGCTTGGTGCTTGGAGTTGACCGGTGCATTTCTGCGGCCGCGCTAGCCCGCGCATGCTCGCGCGCTCAGCGGCCAGATAGTCTGGCGCCACCGACGCGGCCGCGGTGGCGTTGACCGTTGGGCACTTCCCAGCGGGCACTTCAGTGCGAGTCGACCACTTGGGCGGACGCGGTATCATTGCAACGCCGACAACGGTAGTCGCGATGATGATGGTAGCGATGCTGGTGACGCTGATGACAGAGACGACGGCAAGGCCAGTGACGGCGCCGATGCTGATCACGCCAGCGACGGTGACGGCGCCCTCGCGTCGGTGCTGAAGGTTTCTGGAGGGATTTCGACATGCGCGCGCGGCCGACGAGCGAGAGTGGCCCGCAGTATATTATTTGACACGGATCGTGCGTCCCCAACACGCGCGCTACGGCGACCGAGTGATCTGGACGTGCGGCGCGAGGGGCCCGTTTGGCCGAATTTAATGAGAATGTTGAACAACCGATGGTGTTCACAAGAATTCGCAGGAGCGCGACCGCAGGCAGTTTTGATACGTGATTTTGCAAAACCATGTGTTTGATATGTGTGTTTGAAATCCTCACGAAACCTCGTATTTTTGAAGGATTGCGGCATGCGCGCGCGACGGCGCGCGCGCGTGTGCACTTAGCCCCACCTGTTGCAAGGGATTTGTGCGACAGCACGCGCGCAAGGGCGTTCGAACAATTCAGACACGCGCGCGCGAGAGGCCCGTTCGGTAGCAGATTATGAGCCGGTTGAAAACCGATTCCTTTCTTAAGAATTCGCAAAAACGCGGGCGCAGGCTTTGATTGAACATTTTCGATGCAAGACCAAAGTGTTTGTATGTTTTCGGGGCACTCGGCCCTGAAATCCGTACGAAACCTCAGGTGTGAAAAGGATTGCGGCATGCGCGCGACGACGCGCGCGTGCGCACTTCGCTCCACATGTTGCAATCTATTCTTGCGACGGCACGCGCGCAAGGGCGGCCGATCGATTCCGACATGCGCGCGCGAGAGGCCCGTTTGTATAATGTTATGAATATTTGTAATCCAATGGTTTTTTGGAGAATTCGCAAGAGCGCGGGCGCAGGTTTCTTTTGAATTGTTCCGTTGCACATCCAGTGCCTTATACATGTATTCAGGGCACTCGATTTCGAAATCCTTACGGCACCTCAGGTTTTTGACGGTTGCCGACATGCGCGCGCGACGACGCGCGCGCGTGCACACTTCGTCATATGTTTGTTTTGTGTTTTTGGGTTTGCCTCCCTTTTTTCGAAAAGGGTTGTTGAGACTAGTGATTTGCGACGAACGGGTGCGCGCATATCCCTTTCAAGGTAGAGGATGAAGGGGGGTACGGATACCAACCTGCCTGAGATGGTACGAGCTCATACTGAGTATGGGCGATGGGGCAGACAGAACTCAATATAAACTGCACTACGAAAAGGTGGCCCGTTTAGTCCGGGGGGGGGGGAGATCTTCAAGAAGGGGTATCCGCGACCCACCCCCGACCCGCCCGGGACCCCCCGTCGACCCACCCGCGACCCACCCGCGACTCACCTGCGACCTACCTCGCCGCTTCATATGGATACCGCCTTCCTGCGGTATCCATCTGAAGCGGCATCTTGGACGCCGTCTTGAGTTCACCATTTTTTCCTGGAGTGCGTTCCAAGACCCAGGGGCCGCTGACAACAACGCACCCGAAGAACTATCAATCAAACGTGGCCGAGAGGAAAAGGTTGACCAAGACAATGGCGCCCATCCCACGGACGTTAGCAACACGACGGGCGATTCTATCCACCTGCAGCACACTCACCAGCAGCACACTTGCGCGTGCAAGGATGCTCTGGCCCAGTGCATCTGAAGACCAGGAGTGGCGGACCGTCGCCAGTTGCACGACCATGAGAAACCCCGACTCCAGTTATTTATCCTATTCCGACTCCTGCTCCGACTCCGGCTCCCGCCCTGACGCCGGCGCAGCGACTATAACCCAGCTGGCAGTGGAGACCGACGGTCCACCGACCCCCACACCACCACGGGAAACCCCGTTTCCAACGACCAGTGCCACCAGGATTTCCATCCCGTTCCCGCTGCCACTAACGTCGTTTCCTCTTACCTATCCCTGCGACTCTGGCTGGCGCCATCACCCCTCTCCTCCCGCCCTCCCACGATCGCGGCTTTAGGAGTCGGAATTCAACGCATGACCCCGTTCCGGCCGTTGAGCTGAGGGGCCTCCTGGCCATACCGGTGCGCCAGCACCCGTCGCCAGACGCCCAGCGGCCTCCATCCTGGCCAGGGACGGCTACCACTTCAACATGTTCGTCTACCCGCCGTCCGACCTGTGATGCCTTCCTCTCCGTGTCCTCCCTCCTCTGGTTTTGCTTATGGGGCGATAGAAATCGGGGCGTTTTCTTATCAGTTACACGTACGCACTGGCACGTTGGGGTATAGCCCAACGTCGCTCTGCGATCTCCCAAGCCGCGGTTCCACCTTCGGGCCCGCCCATAGCAGTCTACCTGTGGGCTGTTCCCGGTATCTTGCTCCTCTTCTTCTTTCCTCTCCTGGCGGTCTTGCTGTCTCTCTGCTTTCTTGCTGTTTTGGCCCCTTCGTCGTCACGCGGAAGGGTGGGCCTGGCCGCCACTTTGCACTGCTCGGGACAGGGGTCCCGACCACTTTCTCTAGGCTTGCTTGGTGGAGTAATCGTCCCATCAGTTGGGAAGCTGGCAGTTGTCATCATCGCGTGTCTTCTTCGGGGAGAAAAAAAAACCTGCGACCCACCCGCGACCTACCCGCGACCCACCAGCGACCCACCCGCGACCCACCCACGACCCACCCGCGATCCACCCACGACCCACCCGCGATCCACCCACGACCCACTTGCGACCCGCCCGCGACCTGCCCATGACCCATCCCGCGCCCCACCCCGTGCCCGCCCCTCACTATTGTCCGCCAGCGCGGGGTGCTATATGTAATGCATGTATTAAAGTATGTTTGTTCGCGTGTATGTATGTATGCACGTTTGTATGTATGTATGTGTGCATGTATGTATGCAAACAAACATGCGTGCGTGCATGTACATATGCTAGGAAGTATATAATTACGTACGTATGGATGCCATGTTATGTAACGCCATGCAATGTAATGCAATGTAATGAGTGGAGTGGAATGGAGTGGGGCGGAACACAATGGAATGTAATGCAATGTGGAGTACTGTAATGTAATGAGTTGGCGCGAAGTGCAATGTAAGGCGAAGTGCTGTAATGTCACGCAGTGTAATGTAACGCGATGTATTGTAATGGGACGTAATGGGATGTAATGTAATCTATTGTAATCTAATGTAATGTAAGGTATTGTAAGGTAATAAAAGGTAATGTAATGTAGTGTAGTGTAATGTAATGTAGTGTAGTGTAATGTAATGTAATGTAATGCAATGTAATGGGTTGTAATGCGTGTATTTATACATGCATGCATGCACGTATGTGTGTGTGTGTCGCATGTATGTATGTATGTATGTATGCACGTATAATCGCACTTATGTCTGCCAGTTTGTCTGTCTGTATGCATGTATGCATGTATGTATGTGTGTACGTATGCGAGTATAGGGGTTTCTCTGGCTTGCTCTCTTTCGTCTTCGGCTGTTTGCCTGGACTTCGTTTCCTCCTGCACCCGTGGGCCTGTCCGCTCGCTGCTGTCATTGCCGTAGGCCGCCGTGGGGCAGCCTCGCTGGTGTGCCCCTTTGTTCCTCCTCGCTTTCCATGCCCGAGCAGCTTCTGGCGTTTTCCTGTTCTCACGCGGCTGTGGTGAGTCTCTCTCATGGTCTTGCGTTGCCCCTGCCATCTAAGCCCAGATGGCTGATGCCGGTGGGTTCATATCCTAATCGATGTTGAGGGCTTGGCCGTCGCGCGCGCTGTGCTGACTGTTGCATTTTCTCCGCCTCGTCGCTGCGCGCGAGGCCGCCACCGCCAAATAGTGTGTGCGCGTGCGTGTGTGCAGCCAACCCGCGTAATCAGGATGAACAATTTCCCAACGTTGCCCTTGCATCCTTCCCCTTCGGCCCATCCTTGGCCGCTTTCACCATACTCGCCGCGCTCGCAAAGTGTCGGCGTGGCCATCCAAGGCCCTCGCATCCTTGTCGCGCGCCTTTCTTATACAGGTTGACTTCATCCCCCTCCCCCTCTCTATCCATCGTTCCTCTCCGCGCTGCCGGTTGATTACTGCGCTGCGCCTGGCCACTAGAGCGACGGAAGTGAGTGTGTGTGTGTGTGTGCGTGTGTGTGCGTGTGTGTGTGTGTGTGTGTGCGTGTGTGTGTGTGTGTGTGTGCGTGTGCGCGTGTGTGCGTGTGTGCGTGTGTGCGTGTGTGCGTGTGTGCGTGTGTGCGTGTGTGCGTGTGTGCGTGTGCGCGTGTGCGTGTGTGTGTGTGTGCGTGTGTGTGTGTGTGTATGTGTGTGCGCGCGCGCCCCCGCGCGTGTGTGTGTGTGTGGGTGTGTGGGTGTATCCCTGTCCCCCTCGCCCTCCCTCTGTCTCTCTCTCTCTCTCTCTCTCTGGCGTCAGCCCTCGCGGCCGCCCCCCGCAATGGCCCACGGCACGGCGCCGCGCAGCCAGGCCGCCGGCGCGGGCGCGCGCGCACCGAGCTCCGCCGTGGCTGCGGCGGCCGAGGCCGTCGAGCGCAGCGTGGCGGGCCTGTGCCCGCGCGTCGGGCGCGGGGAGGTGGCGCAGGAACCCCGTTCCGAAGCGGGCATGTCTCCATAACCACCGCCTGGGCGACCTTCTCCTCCTCCTCCTCCCTCCTCCACCTCCTCCTCCACCTCCTCCTCCTCCTCCCTCCTCCTCCTCCTCCTCCTCCTCCTCCTCCTCCTCCTCCCTCCTCCTTCTCCCTCCTCCTCCTCCTCCTCCTCCTCCTCCTCCTCCTCCTCCTCCTCCTCCTCCTCCTCCTCCTCCTCCTCCTCCTCCTCCTCCTCCTCCTCCTCCTCCTCCTCCTCCTCCTCCTCCTCCTCCCCCCCCTCCTCCTCCTCCGAGGGGGGATCGATCTTCGCGGACCTCCGCAGGCGGTGGATCTTGACATATTCGGGCCCTCGGGGGCCAAAATCTATCCACATCCACCGCCCGCCGGGGCACCAGGACACCGGTTTCCAGGCGGCGGACATGGATAGATCCCCGCGTCGCACCCACGCCTCGGCGGCGAGCGAGGGGGGGGGGAAGCGAGAAGGAGAGAGTGCCTCCTCGGATAGCGGCGGGACTTCTGGGCGCCCTCGCGCCTTCGAGGGGCTTCCCTGTGTCTTGGGGGAGGGCTTGCGGGAAACTTCTCGGAAGGCGGCGGGACTTCCGAGACTTCCGAGAAGGCCTTGTCCTTTTCCCTTCGCCCCCTCGCCCGCCGCCCACCCTTGGGGCGCGACGGGAGGAGGCCGTCTTTTCCGAGCAGGGGCTCTACTACAGCAGTTGACCAACCCCCGACATTTATTGCCGCGTCGAGTCTTTGAGTAAAACGTAGAGCGCTCGTTCTACGAACATTCGACGCACGTGTTTGTGTTTCATGGCTTCGGCGAGAGAATCAAGTCTGAGGTAAGTCAATTCTGTAGTCGATCCCCTATTCGACTTGTAGGGTGCGGCGATGGCCCGGCTCATCGGGCCCGCCCGCCCGCCCCCCCCCCTCCGGATCACCTGCCCTTGTCGCCTGCGCAGGCCCGAAGGGGGGGACCCAGTACTTACTGGTGCGTGCGGAGACGCGTGCCGGCTCATCGGGCCCGCCCGCCCACTCCCCCCTCCGGATCACCTGACCTTGTCGGTTGCGCGGGTCCGAAGGGGGGGACGCAGTGCTGGTGCGTGCGGGCACACGTGGAGCTGCCCAAAGCAGAAACGGCTAGGTCATCGGCTGGCACCTCCTCCCATTTCATTCCTCCTCCTTCTCCTTCTCCTCTTCCTCCTCCTCCTACTCCTACTCCCCCCCTCCCCTCCCCCTCCCCCCTCCCCCCCCTCCTCTCTTCCTCCTCCTCCTCCTCCTCCTCCTCCTCCTCCTCCTCCTCCTCCTCCTCCTCCTCCTCCTCTGCATCCTCCTCCTCCTCCTCCTCCTCCTCCTCCTCCTCCTCCTCCTCCTCCTCCCCTCCTCCTCCTCCCTTCCCCCCGCCGGATACCCAGGGCCATCGCCGAGCAATCAAAACCATCTCAAGGTTTTGGGCAATTTTCGGGCTCTGGATGCCCTGACGGCGTTCTCGCTTCGGGGTGCTCTCCAGCAGCTGCGACTCGCCGAGGGCGTTCAGGGGAAGCGCAGGCGAAGAGAATCTGCGCACATTTCGGCGGCGCGCCCAGGGGGAAATATCAGCACAGCGCCTGAGTTTTTCAGGTTCGAGGTTTTCGGGCGCTTGCGTCGGCTCTCGTCGAGTGTCCAGCCTTGGGATGCGTTCCAGCGGCTGCGCCTCGCCGAGAGGCGTCCTGGGGTGCCTGGGTCGTCCCGAACGGCAGGCGGAGACCCGAGTTATGACCCGAAAGCCAGACGAGGATCATTGAGGTGGCGGGCCTTTTCAGAAGTCTCGGAAGGCTTCAAGCCTTCTGAAAAGCTTCCTAAGCCTTGTGCGAAGCCACGGGGGCTTATCAGAAGGCCAGAGGGCTTCATCGAAGCCCCGCCGCTATCTCAGAAGGCTTGCCCCCTCTCACTTCCTCCCTCGGAGCGCCGTCGAACATTGCGATGGCGCTGGCGGAGATTTCGCCATGAAACAAGCGGCCCAGACGAGGTGGTGCAGGAGCCCATCCTCCTCCTCGCGCTGCGAAAAAAATACGACGAAAGGTACTTCACAATTTTCACCCTCCGGGAGGCTTACATCTCCTCACATCTCTCGCGCGTCGGGGCGCTCCCTGGCAGCTGCGCCTCGCCGAGAGCGTTCCAGGGGGGAGGGCAGAGTCTTGGATCGGAAGCACAATTTTTTAGTTTCCTGGAGGCCCTCACGGGGCTCCCAGACCTGCGAAACCGACCCGCGATGAAAAGGCGGTCCCGGGGAAGGAGTCCAGACCCATGGGGGTACAGCGCGGGCGAATGGAATTCGTGGGCATTGGGCGCTGGCCGAGATTTCGATCGACTTCGCAATGTTCGGGATGCTGGGGTCTTGTGTCTTCCCCTGGGGCGCGCCGATTGCGGCGGCCCCAGGGGAGCCCCAAGACCCCAGCGTGTCAAGTTCTCGACCCTGCGAACAGCGCCGACGTCGAGAATTTGACGCTGGCCGGCGCCGAGCGGGTTTTTGGGGGGCGCTGGCCGGAATTTCGCCAAGGAAACGTGTCCTGAGGGAAACAGGTCTAAGGTTTTTCGCCGCTCGCGGGCTCCCCCGCCACGGGCCCCGGGACTTTCAGAAAGCGTCCCAGAACGAAGAAGTGGTCCTGGGGAAAGTTAGCCACGCGCAAAAGGGGAGAGGGCTTCTTCGAAGCACCCCCGCTTCTCACAGGGCGCGGGCCTCCTCTGTAGATGTGATGCCAGCGCCTTCTGAGAAGCAGCCTCCTTCGAAGGAGCCCCCCTCCCCCTCCTGTGCGCGCCGCCAAGAGCGGAACGGGGCCCAGGACCCGCTCCCCTCGGACGCCGCTGCCTCCCGCCAGAGACCGCGCGGGCGGCCCGCGCCAGCCGCGGCGTGAGGCCCACGCCCTCTCCCGCCCTGCGTCGACGG